TTCAGACAAATGAACCACTTACTCGGATGTAAGCATTTAAGAACTACGGCGTACCACCCCGCAGCAAACGGCATGGTCGAGCGTTTTCACCGGCAGCTGAAAGCGGCGATAAAATGTCGTGCCGACGACCGGTGGACCGACGCGTTACCTGCCGTTCTGCTGGGCATACGAGCGGCGTACCGAGATGACCTAAAGTCATCAGCCGCGGAGTTGGTGTACGGCGAGAACATCAAGCTCCCCGCAGAGATGTTCCGCGACAACGATACCAACGCGACCGACCAGGCCCAGGTGATAGAACAGCTGCGCGACCACTTCCGTAAGATACGACCGACACAGGGTTCCCGCCACGGACAAAGGAGGATATTCATCTTTAAGGACCTCGCGACAACATCGCACGTATTCATACGGACAGACGCGGTACGAGGTCCCCTCCAAAATCCGTACGACGGACCGTTCCCTGTCGTATCCAGGAGCAACGATATCAAGAACTTTGTGGTGCGGGTTCGAGGCAAAGAGACCACCGTCTCAGTCGATAGGCTCAAACCCGCCTACATCATCGACGACAAGTACGTCGGTAACAACCACGAGCAACACAGTAATACGTCAGACAGCAGTCACAGCAACGCGCCTGAGCCCCGTACTCGTTCCGGTAGAAGAGTACGACTCCCGGAAAGGCTCCAGGTAGGCGTTAGGTAGCAAACAGCCAGGCGACAGTAATCTTAAGGTAGACATAAGCGAATGTATTAGAAATAGTAACGTTTGCACTGGTAAGGGGATGTTGTAGCGGCCAGTCGGCGCGCATAAGAGAAGATTTATTTCTCGCGCAAACGACTAACATATTTATGACTCTCCTTCGAAAAGGCTATCTTTGAGTAAGCTGTTTTCTGTCCGGATGGCAATAAGCCAGTAGAGTTTCTTTTTTACCTGATTCTCGATAGTCAACGAGACCGTCATAAATAAGCGGGAATTCCGAAGGGCACGCAAAACGGACCCGAACGCCGGAAGTCCGAGTGCAACAGCCCTGAGGAAAACCCAGGCCGTTGCATCATAAAAAAACGCATCCACTCCGATCACCACGCGGTCCCAAAACAGGACGCGCTCAGGGCGTAAGGGACAACGCGGTGAGAAGGAGATGGACAACGCTGATTGGGAAAACCCATTCGCGGGTCAACCAATCAGGGGGTGTCCAGAGCCCTTGCCGGGGGCAAACAGGATAATATAAAAAGAGCAGCAGTGAGACGCTCGCTCTCATACCTCTCATACCTCTGATACTCCTCATACCTCTCATGCTACGACGTCACGCTACCCGAAAGTGATTCTACGCAACTTATCAAATAAAGTTAGTAATTACACCGCACGCACCAGTTATTTACAAGAACACAACTCATAACTAAAGTGCCGACACCTTTATCTGCAGCTGACGCTGAAGGCCGACGATCGGAACCGGGAGAAGAGGGCATACATCCTGAGGAGCTATTTCGACTGCACCGAGGCTGAATTCGAGCAGGTGAATGATTTCTTTTGTGAACTCGTCGTGTTCTGTAAAGGCGCGTTTTAACTGGCTTGGCTTGGCCGATCGGACATGCCAACGCAGTAGCATACCGCGCGGTTGGGCCTCAATCGATGCCGAACGGCTCGAAAAGCCGAACGTCGAAATTTTTCAATCAAGCGTTTGGCTTCGTTGCTCCTCCTCTCGCGTTATCGGAGGTTCCGTAGAAACAAACTTCGGCTGCTGTCCGATGTTCCTCCTATGATCGCAAGCAATGATCGATATAGGTCGAAGACCAATTGTTCGACCAATTTTGATCACTGCCTACGATTATAGGAGGGACAGCGGACTGCAACAGAAATGGGCTATGTCTTCTTCTTGTGAAAGAATGGTACATCAATTCTACTTTTGGACACTTCAAAATTTACTTTAAAGGCAACTTTATTTGCTCGAATTTGTTCAAAATGAAAATATTAACCGATATTATCATGAAGATACACAGTGTTCCAAACTTTTTTTAATGAAACTGTATTCTTTTCATCAATTGATACATCATCATATGAGCTAGCAGTATTTTTGGAGAGAATTTTAGGACTTACTAATTTTGTCCTAGATTCTACTTTAGGACTGAAACTGTTCCTCGTTCTGACGACCTGGACTCACTTGGCACGAGTTCCTTTGATCTTTTACTGACATCGGATGGAAAACAAATCGGCATAGCGTTCGGATTTTTAAGTGGAACTGTATCCTTCTCAAATAACACTGAAGAGATACGAAACGTTTCAAACTTGTTTATCTTTGCCTACTCCCCTGCCCGATCAGTCTGTGTCGACCCAGTGGAAACGTGTACTTTACAAGGATCGGATCATGCAGTCAGCAGACCCGCGTGGCAAGACCAAACCAGTGGTAATGGACCTTAAGGCAGCAGCGACTGGTCCAGCGGAAGAGAGAAACTCGATCTGAAGTCAAAGGAGGCGTGGGTACGCGAGATCGTCGCCACCAACGAGACCCCTTTCTAGCACCATCTGGATGAGTTTCTCGAATATTGAATCGGATTGTTCGCGAAGTTGAAAATGGCCCCCGAGTCGCTATCTAGCACTGCGGACCGCAAACCGACCCAGCCCCCATCACCGGTTCGCTCACACGCGATCACGACACCATTGCCCAAAATGTTTAAAAAGCATCCGTTGTTCCGGTGCCCTGCGTTCAAGGGTATGACCACAAAACTGCGCAAGGGAATTTGTGGAAACGCGCGGTTGCTGTTACAACTGCCTGCAACTTAGTCACTCCGTAAAATCGTGCCCTTCCGCGTCTAGCTGCTCACACTGCAAGCGGCCGCATCATTCCATGATCCAGCAGGATTACAATTTGAACTCGAGATCCGATAAGCTCACCATCGAGCCCGTTCACGACACCCCTGCGTCGTCCGCGATCCATAATTGCATCACGCGTTGGACAGGGAACGGGCAGCGACCGCTCTCGTGTGGATGGATGACACGCAACGGAGGGATACAAAATGTATGGGCATTGTTGGACCAGGGATCGACCCTCGCGAGTAACCCCGAGTCCATCGCGACGACCCTATACTATTGCGTGGAAGAATCGTTGGGTCAGCAACTACGTTTATTCTAGAAACTCGAGGAGGCGAATCCCAAAAATCCATCCTCTCTCCCAACGAGAGGTGGAAGAATATATAACTAAATCCTATGCAAAGATAAACAGACTTTAAAATCAATTTTCTCGAAAACGGAGCCTCGGATAAAAGAATATTATACCAAATTTGTTTCTTATTTTCTCATATAGAATCACCCTCTGTTCGGCTGTACTACGAATTCCGGCCTACCCTATACACATGGTGTGACTTTAAAGTGAGAACAGTGAAGTATCTTACGAGGCAATGAAGTTATCAAAAAAGTATTCTTACAAAAGTTGTTTGATTTGAAGGGGCAGATTACACGATTTTAGTAGTTTTTGCGATCTTTTTTTATTTATAATCTAATATCGTTTTCTCAGACAAATTCAACGATATATTATTTGTTATCATTCGGAGCGGTATAGAGTCATAAATCAGTGAGATGCAAAGTAGTCAGATCGATGGGAATCGTGAGTTGTCGGCCAAGCTGAACCCTGCGTGACTATGCTATCTGCCTCTGTCAGACCAATTCGATATTTGACATTACAGCTTAAAATGATAATACATAATATTTCGTTGAATTTGTCTTAGGAAATGCTAACACATTATAAATAAAAAATAATATACTGTTCCACTTTAAAAAATTAACTTCGCCTTAGAATCTTGGACACCACTACACCCACGTAAAAACTATTAAAACCACGTAATCTGCCCCTTCAAATCAAACAACTTTTGTAAGAACACTTTTTTGATGACTTCAATGCTTCGTAAGATATTTCACTATTCTCACTTAACACGTTGAATGCCACGGGGGTCACCGGTGACCGGTACTTAACTTGGCGGTGCCCGCGCGCCCAAATTGATAGAAATATATATAATTTAAAACAAGTATCAATATCTAAAATTTTGTATTATTACCATCGTCAATTTAAACAGTGACCCCTGTCGCAACTAACATGTCAAACATGGTTATACACTGCAACTTATCTATTGCAGATAATATATTTCATTATATGTATCACATATAAAAGAAAATTCATCGTGGCGCCACGGACAATTTCTGTAAAACCGGCGTGGCACTCAACGTGTTAAATGTCACATTCTGTAAATTGAGAATATTTTTGCTCTTTAGTTTCCGATTAATTCAGTAACGTAATTGTTTGTCGAGAGCAACAAAATCGCTGCCCGTGCGGGCAACTGTTGAACAACTTTGATGTATATAATACATTATGTTCCTTGAGCTATAACAAACAAAAACGATACATCCAACAAAGAATACCTCCGGAAGTAAATCGAACTAAAAAATAGTAATTTGAAGAAAGCATAATGGAAACTGATACAAAATTGGAGATTAATTCATTCTATTTATCTTTTTATACAAAATTTTAGAAAGTCCAAAGAAATTAAATCCTCCCTTCAAGTTAATTTAACCAATATTTATAGATCATGAATTAGTGTTTATATTTATAGAATATGACTAAAATGAACAAAACTTTTTTATTATATGATCTAAATAATAATTGTTCTGATTTCATATTTTATTTGTAATTGCTATAAACTTTGTTACTATATCTAGCAATGATCATGTTTAATTTAGATTCTTTTTTATATCCGAATAAGAAATAGCTGCTTTGTTTTACTTAATATAGATAGCTTATAAATAGTTACCTTGTTTTCTTATCTAGAGATCAGTTACATATCTTTGAAATATTTAACTTTGAAACTTTGTTTGCAAATCTTTGCAGGTTAATTTACAATTTTCCACATTATATTCATTGGGAAAATGAAAAACATTCTAATTATTTATAAGTTTAAAATGTTGAAGGTACAACATTTACTTCATTTAATATTCTACAAAACATTGAATATTATTCTTACTTCGTAAATGTAAAGAAGTTGAATTGGTGGTTCCTTAAGTGTTCTAGGCCAAAGTCTGTACTCCGCAAGAAGACACAGCACAGAAAATGTGAACAGCACTGATGCATAAGTTGGTTCAAAGGAAGAACTGTTGTCGTCATCAAAACATAGGCCTATTATGCAAATTTGTCGAAGATGAGTATACATGCCTGCTGCCACCACTGCCACCCAATGTGGATTTATAGATCCTAGGTAATCCTTTACAACTTCCATTCTATTATTGAGATTTGATCATGGTTCAGTAGCAGAAATTGAATAATAAGAATTAAGAATCTACTACTAAATGTACTGAATCTTTTAAATAAAACTAAGAACCGTATTAAATCACTATTAACCTTAGAGTGGTGACATTTGTCAAATTGACTCCTAACATTAGTGGCGATCTACAACAGTAGTGACTTGATCTGAACTTAAATTAACTCTGTATTAATAATGGTGATTTGAAGTCTAGTTGACTCTGTATCGCTAGTCGTAACACTATTATTGATATGGAGTCAATTTGATGTCACATTGTCACTAAAGATATTAAAACAGTTGTTCCCATTTGAAGGTTATTACAGTAGAACCTCAATTATTCATCCCTCCAATATTACAATCGTTTGTTATTTAAATGAATTTTCCCTGTAATCAGCTCAATCAAAGACAAAGCTTAACATATAACTCAACGAAGCTTAACGTATAGTTATATACAAACAAAATTNAGTTGACTCTGTATCGCTAGTCGTAACACTATTATTGATATGGAGTCAATTTGATGTCACATTGTCACTAAAGATATTAAAACAGTTGTTCCCATTTGAAGGTTATTACAGTAGAACCTCAATTATTCATCCCTCCAATATTACAATCGTTTGTTATTTAAATGAATTTTCCCTGTAATCAGCTCAATCAAAGACAAAGCTTAACATATAACTCAACGAAGCTTAACGTATAGTTATATACAAACAAAATTTATTGTACAAATCAATAAAAATGACATGTGACACTTTAACAGTTCTTAAACATTTATGCATAGCCTGAATAATCGAGGTTCTGCTGCATATTA